AAGACTTATTCTTCTTCGATGGAAGGATCCACATCCTCCAGTATATGRTCAYTGGTTAAGAGAAGTTATGTCTTACATTCATTTAGAGAAGATTAGATATACTGTTAAGGGATCTGTAAACAAAGTTTTTGACATTTGGCAGCCATTTATATCTTATGTAGAAAAAATTTCGGCAGATAATTTTGTGTAAAGGTTAACTATTGTTCCATCATACACAAACCTGTTCATTGTATCGTTTGATGAATACTAGATCGATTTTTGTTATTTCAGTGGATCCGGTATAGGAGGGGACGGATGGGAGGGATTTTGGGTGTGTGTGTTTTGTTTTGTTTTTGTAAGTCTGTTCTTTTTTGTGGTTTGCTAAAAAAATAATAATAAAAAGACCTTGATCAAAAAAAAAGAATGTTATTACAATGTTATTGTGTTTAGATGTAAATCACTGCTTGGATTTTAACTGTGAAACCACAGTAATTGATTGTAGATTTTTAGGTTTAAATATTTTACTTAACTAAACTTTGCATTATGGTTAAGCTTTATTTTAAAACATTTTATAATTATATTTATATGAATCATTATAATGAATGTTCTATATGAAATGTGGTGAAAGTTACTAATGATATTCTCATGGCTTCAGACGGTGTCCATTCTTGTCCTGTTAGATCTCAGTGCTGCATTTGATACAATTGATCACAATATTTTCACAATATTACGTAGACTTGAACGTGATATTGGGATTAAAGGAACAGCTCTAAAATGGTTTGAGTCTTATTTAACTCATAGATTTCAGTTTGTTAATGTTAATAATGAATCTTTTTCTTACACCAGAGTTAATCATGGAGTTCCTCAGGGTTCAGTGCTTGGACAAATCCTCTTTACTTTATATATGTTTCCATTAAAGTTATTAAGCAAAATGGGATAAATTTCCATTGTTATGCTGATGATACTCAGCTATATTTATCCATGAAACTCGATGAATCCAACCAGTTACTTAAACTACAAGCA